GGATGCCCCCGGTACACGTTGTACCGATTGTACCGGTTTGTAACGGTGCCAAGGCCGGTATCCAAGATCCAATACCCGATATGCTGCTGGCCGTAAACGAATCAAAATATGAACGCACCTGGTCTTTTCTCCCTTCATCACATGGCGGCTGTATCCTTTGGGTCACTACCGCCCAGTCACTAGCAAGCTATCTTGGAAGCACCTAGAATTTCATGGTAGGAGATGAACAGGAATCAGACGTTAATATTCTATCACGTATCTCACCTGAAGGTGAAGCAAGGAACAAAGTAAGTGAATGAATGCTTCATTCTTTTCACTAAACGAAACACCACAAGAACCCTCAAAGAGGTAAATTTCATTTAATGAAAGAGATGAACATGCGCGCTTCTATTTGCTTCGCCTGTTTCTTTCCATATCGATATACTAATTTGCTCTTTTGGCACCAGGAATCAAGTCCCCAAAGTGGCTGGGTAGACCTTCCAATCGACACCGCAAGAGGTTGACAGTTCGTGGATGCGAAGTTTCTTTTTCACTTTAACGAGCGGAGTTGACTGTTTTCGCGAACCAAGCATACAGCACCAAGATGATGAATTAAGTGTTATGTAGGGTTCGCATTTGTGTTTAGTCCAATGAAATAAATAAAGCAAAGTCACGGAGTGTACGCCTGTTTCTTCCATTGGAAAAAACACATGCGACATTTCTATCACCTAGACATACAATGGAAAAAAGCCGCAGTGAAATGAAATTGAAGGGTAAAGAATGCACGCCTGCATTTTTCTTTTCATTCATTATCTTTCTTCTTTTCATGTGCTTTCATTACACTTCTTTTTTTGAGCAAAAGGCCACATTTTACGCCTCTGGAATAACAGATACACATGCAAAAGCAAAAGCACTAATGGGACAAAGGTAATGGAGTGAAGAAAGAAAGCATGCGTTGCTTCATGATGCTTTTTGTTAAATTATCTTCCTTTCTTTTCGTTTATGCCTTTCGTTGATAGAGCTATATCACAGAATATCAGGTCATTATTATCTTCTCAATTCACGCCCCTCATTTTCGAAATATTGAAACCACGCATACGCTTCATTTCAAGTCACTCCTTTGTCTCTGACATAAAAACAAAGTTGGTTGCAACCAAGAGGTGTGCTTCAATGAAAAGAGCACGCATCGCACATGCTTTCGTTTGCTTCTTCGTCCTTGAACCACAGGCCATGCAAATGCTTTCTATCTCCACATCTATCTTCTTGTTTCGGTCATGTTCTTCTTGAACGACTCCTGATTCAGCTCCTATTCTTCGCTGGCCTTCTGCGCTTAAATCATGGATTCCCATTGTTTCTTCATATTTAGCGCAAGAGGCCAACGAACATACTCTCTTCATAGTAGTAACCTCTAGACCTGAAAGAAAAACTAAGACTAAGGGATAAGGTAGAAAAACCTAATGAACAAGTGATAGAATCCTAAAGGCGACATCACCCATAAAATGTAATGTTAAATGTAGGTCATAGGATGTGCCATTATAAATTGAATCCTTTATCATTTCGCTTTGTGCTTTTTAGATGACAAAATCACGCATGCAGTTGGTTCCCTTGTAATAATTCAATATTTAAACGCATCGCACAAAAGATCAAATCAAAGTGAAGAAAAGAAAAGAGCACGCGTTTATTTCTCTTCACTCACGGCTTTTGCACCTGCTAGTCAGTCTTGTTTCCTTCTTTGGGTTTAGCTATAATAACATCAAGATTTCGAAATCATGCGTGTCCAACCTTTTGCATTCTCACCAGTTCCTGTGCTGAAAAGATAACCCATGCTGTCTGGCTCTCCAACACACGAGAAAACAGTAGATCCTTGAGGGGGGTTGCATATGTATGTGTATATATATATATACATATGTATAGTTTTGCCAGGGGAAACGTACACCTAGCATAAGTCTCTCTTGCGAGACTTAATTATAGGCGACGAAAGCTGCATTATGATATGCTGGACTGCATTACAGATGTGATGTGTCGTGTTTCGTATCATGAGCTTAGAAAGAGTGTCGATTGGCAGCATTTACACTTTACACAATCTCACCAACCGCTCACTGTTTGTTTATAGAACCACATACAGGCAAATATTAAGACACATGCTTATGTCGTTACCAAGCAGTGAGTATGTAGCAGCGAGTATACCTGCATGTTGGCATGAATAGAGAACGTATATTTACAAGCGCTGAAATAGTATAAACAACATGTGGTTTTGATAGATGTAATGACTTCACGCATTTAGCTGTCAGTCTGTTAAACATAAAAAAGGCAAATGCAAAGGAACGTCTGACAGTACAGACTGTAACTATACGGTAGTAGTTGCAAAGGCTCTGACCATAAAGCACCAAATCTAGGAGTCCTGGGAACCAGATAAAACCAAAAGAGGACAGCAAAAATCAAGACTCTGACAACGCTGGAAGTATGTTAGAAATATGTATAATCGGATTCCTGGACATTGTGTGTTTTGGTTCCTTTGGTTGTTTGTGGTTCTGTTTTGTTTCGCTTTGATGGATTTGCTTTTGATAGTTTGTTCTTTTGGTGATGTGTTTGGACTTTGCTTAGGAGGCAGCAAAACATAGTGAAAGCCGGAAGTTCGAAGAGAAGAATGCAACAACGCCCGTAAACATTCTTGTCCAGAATGTCGCTCGTTCTCGAGGAGCAGCACCTGAAATATGCCAAACGCAGGGGTCGAGTTCGACCCTTGACCCGAATCATCACACTGTTACGAGGATCGGTCCTACATTTCCGAATCTTTTGCCGGCACATGGATTTCATTTTTCTTCTCACAAGGCTTGGTAGCATGACTCTGACAGAGCAAGTACAATGCACGATAAACATCAAGATAAATATGATAAACATGGGATGGCAGTTCGACTCTGAAACAAAGTACTTACACATTAGACCCTAAGCCCTGAAGCCCTGAACTCCTGTGTACACCAAACCCTCGAAGCTGCCGAAACCCCCCTGAACATGTAAAGGCCTTGAATTCTAAAAGCTCTAAATCCTAAACACAAGGGCAAGCCGCATATTCTGAGAACTTTGAACATGCACGAGCTTGCATCCAAAACCCAACATCCCTAAGCATCCTGTAGACCCGCAAAACCCTAGACCCTGAAACCCTCAACCTTACAAACCCTAAATCATTAAAGAATCTTACTTCTCTTGAACCCTAAGCCCCAATATGCCCAAATACTCATGCCCCAGACTGGCGCTTGAAGTTTCTCAATAGTGAATGCTTGAAATGGAATCGCGAGTGCTTGAATTGTTGTGCTGCTTGAACCGAGCATTCTCGAGTCGCGTGTGCTGGAATCGTTTGCGCTTGAATCGTGCATGTTTTGAAGCGAAGCTCCGGAATCACGGTCTGTGCATGAATCTCGCTTGTATCAGCTCTCTGTGTGTGTCTATATGAATATGCACAAAGGTATGTACTGTGTATAAACAATTACATGTGCATACACAGGCAGACACGCAAACGTACATACATACATACATACATACATACATACATCCATGTATGTATGTGTATGTATATATATATACATGTATATATGCATATTTTTTCTTTTTATACACATCCTCGTGAATGCACATGTACTGTGGACCCACTCTTGTGTCAGAGACGATACTGGGATAGTTACACAGGGTCTCGAACGGATGTAAGGCTGTGAAATTGTGTTTGAACTCGCTGAGGTGCCGTCCACGTGCACTGCAGATGCAGAAACCAACCGAAAGCAAAAAGCAACTCAAAGAGCAAGCTAGATAAATCGGACAAATAGGACTAGCAATAGTTCGGGACTCTCGTGAAGTTGACCACTACTCTAATCATGCTGTAGCGCTCCCGACCTAATGTCTTCTTTGAGGTCTCATTGCGTAATCTTTGAACCGTTTTCGGAAGGCTACGGTTTCTTGCTTTGGGTTCTTGCGTATCTCTACAGCGTGCACGCACTTAACCTTAGAGGTAACCTTTCGACGCCCAAATCACCGAAGACAGGTGGTTAGGACTTCTCCCGGGCCGCAGCATTAGTCTCTCACTCTGGCCAGTGATTGGGCTCAGAAAGACTGTACTCACCTGTGTGCCTTCAGCAAGGTCCCGGAGAAAGCTCCAAAATAACGAATATCTACATAGTGAAAAGCTTCGGAAGTCTGTGAAAAATCCGTGACCTGTTCACGAAGCAAGTGTCGAATGAGTTCAGGTTTAACAGGATAACCTGTCCAGTCAATCAGCATATTGCCTTAATTTTTTCACATTGTGCAGATGCTGCATATCCCTGTTGAATAGCCCCAGAAGCAGAAAGCAAGCAAGCAACACTATCCTTCCCCTACTCTTTCACGTATCCCAGTACTACGCTTCACCACTCAGCTGCTGGCTGGAGCCTGTTAAACGAACTCGAGCTGATGACATGGACCACTGCATCTCGCAGTGCTATCCTAACTGCTTCTGCAATTGGGGATCCTCGTTTTGCAACCTGCAGGCTTCTCAGAACTCAGCACTGGCTATTCTTGCGATGAAACACTTAGAACAATCACTTCTGAGTCCTGTATAGAGGATGTCAGTACATCTGACACCTATAACAAACACCCTGATATCGTGCTGATTCTTGTTGCGTAACTCAAAAATGTAACCTGAGTAAATTGCAAAGGGATTACGTTTACCGTGTATAGCACGAAAACGAGAGCATAGACAAGTGCTGCACTGGACACAAACCTACCAATTTCACAGATATACTGCCGTTTTCAGCCTAAGGGCGTGTGTAGTCCCCGAATGGCCTCCATGCTCAGCTTCTGCAGTTCCAGAAACGACTTCCTGGCAAAGGTGGCTTCGTAGATTCTCCAGGTTCTTGGGGTCAAGGTCTAGTTAAGGGTTAGTGGGTCTCGAGAACTTGGCATTCCGAGGTTTAGGGTTGAGCTTCTGCGGCTTCTGTGCCATTGAAAGGAGAAATTCCTCATTCAAAGCGCCTCTGTGAGACTTAGTTGCCTGCCTCCTTCGTCGCGGTTCGCTGATATTGCCGGCCTGCTCCAGTTAGCCACCCTACGAACGCAGTGTCCACATGACAAATGCAAAGCAATCAATCCACAGCAATGCAAAGTAATTCACGACTTCACCATTTCAAGCAGGTACGCCTGGCCTGTCTGGATGATCCTCTGCTGCATTGGACCAGAAGCCTGCTGTCGAATCACTTCGTGCTGCACCACCTGATGCCGACTTCAGCCGCATTGTTCAAAGTTGAAACGCGCTTCCAGTCAAGGTAGAGACGACTCTGGCCTTTGGGACCTCCACAGCAGTCTCTCGAACCAAGTTCACTGGCACCGGTACGACCTGCCAGAGAGCGAACAAATCAGAGCCGTGGCCCCACCTACCAGTCATACGTCACCCTATCCATGCAGACATCATGCAGATGTTTACCCCTGGGTTCGGCATGCTCAAGAGTGCAAGAGTGAATAAGAGTGCGATGCAATATGCAGCCAGCCAGTGCTTGTAGACGGTGGCATCTTACACACTTCTTTCCCGACCTTCTCGACCACCTTGGTCTCGACGATCCTGGCTTCCACACTGCTTTTGTACGAACAACAGCCCGTGTGGCCAAGCAAATCAACTCCTAAAAGCTGTGCAACCATGCGACCAGGACTCTCAGCACTACCGGGAAGCAACATTGAGCCGGCATCGCTTGGGCACGTGCTTCTGCACAACTTGCTTCTGATAATTCGGCACCTGCTTGCACGGGGCTTTCTCTATGATACACTCATACGCAAAGCACACACTAGCATGGAATGCCATCACGGCTCTCATCCAAAAATGGCTGTCGCCTCCTTCACAGCCTGAGCTATCTGAACTTGTGGCACGTGCCGTAATCTCTCCTCGTAGAAGACCTGGCCACAACTCAAACAAGGGATTCCGCTCTGCACAGGGATGCTATCAGCAAAACCTGCCAAAAAGTCAGTAGACCGACCTGGGGAACTTCAACTATTCTCTCCTCTGGCTGGAGGATCAGTTTCGGCACCTGCAGAAGATGGCGAGGTTGCACCACCCGGACAGAAAGCGAACCACACTGCCTCTTTGTCCACCATCTCTACCTCAGGTTTAGGCACCTTGGAGACATCTTCTGGGCTGTCACGCTCACGCCAGGGGTCCCCTCATTTGCTTGGCTTCTTGGCAAGCTTAGATGCACACCTGGACCATCAATTCTGCAATCTGGACCTGGGGCACTTCGACAGGGCGCTCCTGAAGGCGAAAACGCCGAGAGGCTCTGTTTAGCTTAACTCCGACACTTAAAGCTCACCGGAGAACGGGTCCTGTGTCAGTGTCACAGGCACCTGGCGAAACCGAATGACTCAAGCAGCATATTATGCTTTCCCTTCAGCACAAGTCTGAAGATGTCTGCCTCAACGACCTTCTCCTGCGGTTGCAGAACAACCTGTCAACAGAGGTCACCAAAGCTCGAAACGAAGTGGGCGCGGGAGACTTCCTTTTCCGGAGACAAATACTGAACCACTTCCTGCACTGACATGCTAGATCCGAGACTTCTGCAGTAGAGCACACTCTCCCTGTTGCTCATTGGATCTTGCAACAAACCGCAGCGGGTTGCAGCCTTTGGCCCTAGAGGCTAGCAGGCTCTGAACTGGATTGCGGTTTGGTCGGCTAACGTCGACTGCACGTAGCGTGCTTGGGCCCCCAGTTTTTGAGTCCTGCTGGTGCATCTACAAGGATGGTGTAGAGCATAGGAACAATCTGCGTTCAAAGTTGCGCCACACGAATCAATAGAATTAAGAGACTTCTGAGCCTTGCCTTGGGAACCTCCTTCTTAACGTACTGGACATGGGGTCGAGGCACCTGCGAGATGCTCAACATCAGAAAAGACATCATCATGTCAGTGCCAGGCCGAAGCGATACACAACGATGACCGGTACACTTTGAACTTGCGTGCTTCGGGCATCGTGGAGCGCAAGAAGTGGCCTGCGTCACAGCCTCCACATTTATGACTTCCGGGACCTCTATCGCTCGCTCCTCATAGATGACCTCTGTCAAGATTGAAAGGAACTGCCATGCTGCTTGTTGGATATATGTGTTGCCATCCCAACAGCCTGAGGAACCTCGACAACCTTCTCCACGTACCTTCCCAGATCTTCAAAGCTGCCAAAAGCCAGTCTGCACAGCCTAAAACACCATGATTTTGTTTGTGTATGTATGTGTATATATATATATATATCTCTCTCTCTCTCTCTCTATCTATGTATGTCTGTCTGTCCGTCCGTCCGTCCGTCGGTCTGTCTGTCTGTCTCTGTC